TCAAAATAAAAAAATTTAGACGAAAAATCCTCAGTCAAATGTTGAGATACTTTCACGAATTGAAGTGAATTTTTCACGAGGCAAACATTCATTTCTGAGAGAATGAATTTTAGATTTTTAATTCTTAGTTGGCATTATCGATGATCGAAGTCTGATGATTTTAGATCTAGGTCCAAGGATTATGAATTCGAACATTAGATATTAATTTCGCGAGATCAATCGCACAATTCGAGGATATTGAATTGTCTAATTTCAAAAGTACGAACTTCGCAATAAAATTTGTTTCAATTGATATTATATTGCTCGAAAGATCTGTTTCAACGTTTTACACATTTTCATAGAACTTTCTCTCTCTCTCTCTCTGTTTCTCTCTTGAGCGGGGAGAGACTCTTCTCTAAAATACGATATTACCAGAATCTTTAAATCACCCTTGAACTCAATTCCGATCAAGCGTTAAAATTGCCAGATCTCGTCCTTTATATTCTCCATACCGGATCCAATCTTCCAGAAACTAAGAACACTTTTCCAAAAAGTCTCAACCGAATCGCTTCTTCAATCGTTCAATTCAACGATATCACGGTGTCAATAATATCGGATCATGTCAGAACGATTCTGTTTCATTCAATTCAACGATATCACGATACCAATAATCAAACATCGACCATCCTCTACAATCTTTTTTTTATCCTTTTTATCGAGAAAATCTGTACATCGCGTTCCTATTGAAACGGATACCGATAACGTCAAATGACAAACCTAACGTCAACCATCCTCTACGATCATTTTATTTTCTATAGAAAATACTTGAAAATATCACGATCCTAATAACATCGAATCACGATCTTTTATACTCTTTTGCTCACTTGCAATAAAGATGATAGAACTCGAAGAACGTGACTATTCAGTGTTACTGAATCATATGGAAATGTTATAAAAGTTCTTTGCGATTAATTATGAGGATTTTGTTTATTTGTCTTCATAATTTGACCGACAGAAGGGATTTATGTTTATTCTTTCTGGCCAACGAGACGCTCTGTTATATTTCATAAATTTTATTACTTAATTATTTTCCAGATCCCCGCGCAGTTAAAAATATGCGTCGAAAATTATTTTAAATCTATGGTGTTATCAGCGTGTCACGTGCTATCTGATATCACTTTCGAGACTATCGTTCACAACAGTTCTTATCGGATTTCCATACAATTGTATCACTTCTTTCAACTAATGAAAATCTCTTCTCACTCTATTTCTCCACTCTAAAATCCGCTCTAATATGAGTTTTCTGAGATCCCGACACGCGGTGTTTTCCCTTACATTTTCACAGCGACATCATACAAGTTACTGTTACGCTTCGAATACTTTGTTTAAAGCGTGCACTGCGGGCATTGTTGCACCTCCGAGCCCCCAACGAGCGCGCAAAAGAGGTTCCAGCAGGATCTAATTTCGCGACTGAAAAATCTTGAAAACTAAAGAAAAACTCTCTCTCTCTCTCTCTCTCTCT